AAACAACTGAATACAGACTATTCAAATACATTACAATGTACCACCTATGCAATTAGTGCTACACTTTTAATCTTGAGTGGCTTAGCAGTTTGCCTTATGCTGTCATTCATTCTGAAGCTGTTAAAAGTTCGTGAGTTCAATGTTCCAATAGATTCATGCGTGTTTTAATTCAGATTCAATTCTAAACAGCGATCAAAAAAAAACGTACACAATGCCTTGGTTGATTGAATACCTGAGGTTAAACTTTGATGGTCACGTTTTGTGGCTATAAAGTAGAACAGAGTGACCTACACTGTACCACAGCAGACGTTTAGTGAACCTTCACTTATCTTAACTACTTTGTATGCCACACAAATTCGAGAATGTCAGACCAACCTTACGTCTATGTTGAACTGTATAGTTTGCTAACAGTAGATGGAATCATATTTTACCTAGCGACCAATATCAGTTTTACTGCAGTTAAATATGTGGCTTTCTCCCAGAAAAATCAAAATTCAATCATTTAGTACTGAAATGAGGAACTCTCTGTACCAAAATTAATGAAATGTGTTACAAAACTTGGAAATGATGCGTGCTAAATTATCAGATTTTTTGAATTCGTACACATTTCTCCTCATTTCAGTTTAGATTTCGTCTAGAACCCACACCATACTCTATGGATCATTCAGTTTCATCCCAGCATACGAAAGTTCAACGATCTGGCCTTGTAACTTGAGAATCCTGGCTCCTGTCTATCAACGAGTCGTTGATACATACCTCTACAGTGTCAGGAACTGGGAAGAAACAGTTTTCCACTACTTCTTGGTTTTCAGTGGTTCTCCGACTGAAATCTGCTCTGATTTCTTACAATTGACCATTACCACACTGTACCTGCAGTGCTTAACTTAATCGCTTAACGTTAAACATGCCTTCCTTTATATTGCTCATTTCAGTTATACAATACACCTTCACTGATTCAATCCTTCAAACTAGGACAAAACAGCTGTCCAGTACTCCCTGCATGTTTACCAGTGGTTCTCTAACCGATTTCAGCTCATGATGAAATCCTCCAACGAATCAAGCAAAAATCCCTTCAAACCAATACTTGAATATCAATGAGATGCTCATTAGCGACTGGCCCTATTCAGACAGTTTAACCTAGGGTTCTAGTGGGAAGCCATGACCAGTAGGGTAAACCGGGTCGAAGGTGAGGCAGTAACTCATCGAAGAAGAGAATGAGAAGTGGTCGCGCTATGTCGTGAATTGGCAGAAGTTAGAATTCATGGACTGGACATTGGGTCTAATGGCTTAATGGTCTACAAGCCCACCTAGTAACCAGGAAGTCCTGGGTTCGAACCATGGTGGGAGACGCACACTGATGAAGAGTCTCAAACTGGAACAAAAAAGCTATCGAGCACTCCCAGTTGGTTTTCTAATGGTTCTCTAACTGATGTCAGCTCATGATGAAATCCTAGAACAAATCAATCCTTTTTTGTTCTATTTTCAAATTATTATTAGTATCTTATCATCCAAATACCGAAATGCCTTTCTTGAACCAAGTTTCATAATGTAATAGTATTCATTCTGACATGCAATTCAGTATGTTCTGCTACTGAGTGACACTGATATTTGACCTATATTGACACTATCCATGACCTTTCAATAACACCATTTAGCTGCAGTAGCTTTGATTAAATGTTGCAAAATGCGTACTCTTTTCTGATTTATGACTTTATCAATTCTAAACATATTTATTACTGTCCATTAAGTCATTCTCTCCTACTCATTTTTTTCTGTTTTATTCATATCTGTCTGTTGTGGTAACATTAAGTCTCTGTTTTCATCTTTGGCATGATTTTTCGGCGTTTCACATCTTAAAATGTAAATGTGTAAAGTTCTACGTAGACTGATCAGTTAGTTAGCGAATTCAAAGTGCATACAATTGTATATGCTCATATTTAAGTCAGTCCTTGTGCCATTACATGAGAAATAAGATACACAAGTAGCTTGATATTGCATACAACTCTTTGTTTATTGCTGCTACTGTGGTGAGTGCTACTTGTAATTAGATATAAGTAGTAGATCAGTAAACGAGTTCAGAAGAGCAATAATATGTTTAGGACACTGAAAAAAAAAGCAGTCGAAGAAAAAACTGTGAGAAGAACGTTCGAAACACTTAGCAGAGTCCAACAAGCTATGGAATATAGTGATATTCGACGAATTTGCAAATGAGGTGCAAATAAAGCATTGGAGATCTGGTATACCCAATTTATCTACCTACAATTAGTTCGTCCTATTTAACATTCTCTGAAGCATTATCGGTCTTTTCTTCCTTACACTACTACCAATGTAATAGAAGCATTTATTACATAACGAACTTTGTCAGCATTATAAAACAAACAAGAATTATTTTAGCTTAAACAAACTAGACACTTGGAGTTAGTTTTCACTTATTTTTCAGTCGTCTAAATTATCTTCGACTATGGGGATTTGATGAAAGTCAGTTGAATTGGTAGGCTGTTACATACTGGTTAACGAACGTCCATCCGAAGTTGGATTATGTAGACACCATAGGATTAAAATTCACGTCGAGGGAATATGAATATTTCCACCACTAGTAGTGATGGCTTTCTGTGTAATTCTAGTAGAGTAATGCTGAAACGACAGAGCGCGACCACTTCGCAATGTCTTCTTCGATGAGTTACTGCCTCATCTTCGACCTGTTGTACCCCACTGGTCACGGCTTCCCACTAGAACCCCAGGTTAACTGCCTGAATAGGGCCAGTCGCTAGTGAGCATCAGATTAATTTTCAAGTGTTGGTTTAGTAGGGATTTGGTTTGATTGTATGGAGGATTTAATCACGAGCTGACATCAGTTAGAGAACCACTGGAAAACCTGGGAGTACTGGACAGCCGTTTCGTTCTAGTTTGGGACTCCTCAGCAGTACGCACCCACCGGGATTCGAACCCAGGACCTTCTGGTTACAAGGCGAGCTCGTAGACCATTGAGCCACTGGGACCCGATCCAATGGTCCTTGAATTCTAACTTCTGCCAGTTCACGACATAGCGCGACCACTTCGCAATGTCTTCTTCGATGAGTTACGACCTGCTGTACCCCACTGGTCCCAGGTTTTCCAGTGGTTCTCTAACTGATGTCAGCTCGTGATTAAATCCTCCATACAATCAAACCAAATCCCTACAAAACCAACACTTGAAAATAATGCTGAAACCTCTCAGAATACGTCAAAAACAGCTGCTGGTAGAGCTTATCCTCATGTCCTTGCTACATGATCTCAGTTGGTAATCAAATTATTGACAAATTAAGGAATTATATATATTTTGGTGATTATGCCTTAAAGGTAAGATCACTTCAGCTTCGTAACTAATTATTGTAACCAGCCGAGTATTATGATAAAAGTGGTAATTGATCACGAATTGGCATCATTTAGAGAACTACAGGAAAATCAGGGGGTACTGGATAGCTTTTCGTGCTATCTTGGGACTCTCTATCAGAACACAACCACTGAAGTTTGAACTCAAGGCAAACTTGCAGAGCTTTCAGCCTTTGGGACCTGACCCAACTTCCTATGAATTCTAACTTCGGCCAATTTGTGACACATATAGCATAACCACCAGTCACTTTCTCAAACTAGAACGAAACAGATGTCCAGTACTTTCTCCTTTATAAATGGTTCTTTAACGGATATCAGCTCGAGAGGAAAGCTGAAAGCAGTCAAATCCCTACAAATCAACACTTAAAAAAGCGCCATCCCCCCCCCCTTTTTTTATACCTATACTACATTTATAACTCCTTCTTTTTTTTCTAATTTCTACGAAGTGTTGGTTAAATGTTGTTCAGCAGATTGACATCATTAATACAGATATCACTGCATAGAAGTGTGACTACTACTTATCACCGTGACGATCATAATTTGTTCTGTGTTTAGGTATATAGTATTTTGCTAAATTCTGATGATCAGATTCCATCGGAGATAAGTTATGAACTTGCATTAGCAATGGAAATAGTAACCATGTAACTGTTGTGAATACAGTTCTGTGAGGCTTACTTTTTCTAGTTAACAACATTATGATTAAAATGAACTTAAGCTCAAACACCATAAATGTCATGCCATAAATTTGCATATTTCAAAGTTTTTGATTGGTCGTTTCTTTTGAGCCAATCAAAATCCTTGCACATAGATTAACTTACTTAACCACAAAGTCAATGGTATGAATAGAAAGCTACTTAAAATAACTCGATGCTGAGAAAACCCAAGATAATGTTAGTGATGAGTGGAGATGAAATGGAAAAATCTAGATCGCCATAAAATTTGGCCTAGCCGCCTTCGAAGATACTAGTCCGGTGCTCCATTAGCTGAGTTACGAGATTCAACCTGACACCAATCCATTATTCCACTAAAGTCACCCTGAATGATACCCAGCTGTCATGTTAATGAATGAATGAATGATATGTTACTGTTCATTTGTCACCGTACTACCTACCCTACTGCCTCTTCTAAGTTTAATCCTTATTATTACTATTTATTTTATTCTTTTGCGCTCCATGTGGAACATTGGGCTTCAACCTCGAACTCTGAAGTTTCACTAGCAGTGGTTTCTTTTTCACGGAGTAGGGACGCCAACCTGACGCCCAGCCTCTCCTCTTTATTGGTCTCACTACCAAGTAGCCGAGGTTTAAGATTTCATCTCAGAGAATTGAACCCAAGACCACGTGCATGATTGGCTTGTGTCCTATCACTCAGCCATCTATGATTAATCTTAATTGTAACGAATTAGAATATGTCCAGCAAGTTTCTAATTAGCGGTGAATTTACTCACCTACAATTGGATGAATCATCACCCTACCAATCTGATCATCAACCAGTTAGATCAGAAAACACCTACAGTAGCTTAAAATAATGTTGAATAACTGCCAGTTTTTGATATCAACCGCCTATTTTGCTTTAAAAAATTCTTTTAATCGACAGAAAAATTTCATCTTGATATGCAAGTTTATATATGTATACTTTTATGCAAGGGGAAAGGAAAGTAGAAGTTTTGTACTCAAAGGTTTTAAAAACTGTTCCACAAAACTAACAATTCTATACACTGCCTTTGTGACAATACGTGTGTGTGTGTGTGTGTAATGCGCTGTAGAAGTGGAGTTTTAGTAATAATAATAATAAGTATATAATACTAAAAGATAAATTACACGGTAATCTAACATGAGTATTTTTACAAATATATGGTTGTTGTATTTCTGTATAAGAGTTGAAGTGTCACCTCCACAAGTGACTAATAAAACATATTCACCATTCACTGTTATTTTCTGTACAAATCACTCTAATTTGTGCTGTTAAATAAAATTACATGGGTGCAATATTTAAAAGAAATAGCATGACACTTCAGTTGAAAACAGGGCTGGTTGCTCAACTTCTTCGCAGATTCGACTAACTGACATCCTGGATGATATGAACTGCCACTCCAGATTCTTATTAGATTACCTTGTGTACACTGTTAAGTTCTTCGACTATTTCACTTTTCCATGATGTTTTAGAATTTGTATAAACTGTTGTATTTAACTGACTCATATTTTGTATACCATTTGATGATGAACATAATAACATTGATCCATTGAATTGATTTTTAATTAAATCATTTAAATTTCTAGTAAATCGATAGACATATCGTTTCCCAGAGACTTTTTCAATAATTTTTTTATCATAATAATATCTTAATCCACGACTTAACTTTTCGTAGTTCATTTTTGGTTTATTTTTTCTAGCTCCCCATCTCTGAGCAACTTGGTTTGGTTCTTTTAATTTAAATTCGTTGTTATAACCAGTCCATGAGATAAAGTTATACGCTTCTGGATCGTGTAATTCTTCTAATAAAAATTGCCATAGCTGTATATGTCCATTATGATTATGCATTGGATAGGTGAATGTTTTGTGACAGATGCTTTCAGTTGACTTTTCTTGATATGAATTAAAAATTGAGTGAACTTTTCTATTTACATCACTGTTATCAGTAAGAGTGTTAGGGGTATTGGTAGTAGATGTACTACTGACATTGGTAGTAATATTAGTAGTAGTATTCATGGGATTCCCTTGACTTTCATTCATTTGAACAATGGGAATATTCATGGTTTGTGAATATATATGAGATAAATCTGCATTTATCGAATTACTGCTTACTTCGTTCAATTTATTTTCATCTAGAATAAAGGAATAAAAAAGCATTATTCTTCTGAAATATTCGTGTTTATTGATCTAACTACTCATAAGTAGTAAACCATATATAAGTAAAGATTTCAGCATTTACGGTGAGTGATTTAATGCTCCATGAAAGTTAGTAATTTTGTATGAATATATTTACCACTATATATATATATATATATATATATATATATATATATATATATATATACATATATAATGGTTGTATGAGAGGATGGATGCAGTGTTCTAGTTAGAACACTATCTCTTACTTGAGAGGCAGGTACGTCTAACTGACGAATCCCAAACAGGCCGAAATGTACATCGTGAATTCAACTACTAGTCCCCATTGAAGCAAAACAGTACTAGATTGGTTTTTAGAGCTATCTAGTGCCTTTTAACGGTTAGTGTTAATGAAAAAACAATCCACTATTCACAACTGGAGAATTCATGTAATCGAAAAGCTTCACACAAAAGCATTTTAAAGTTAGTTAACGCTTTTGGTGTTGTTGATTTCCCTGAACTGAATGATTTAATTGAAAAGGTTTCTTTTTCCTTTTGGGTAATAAATTCAATTTTAAACTCAAAATAGATCAATACTGATGGGCAGGCTGTTAAGTGAGGATGTTGTGGCAACTATAAAGGTGCTACTTTAGTGAAAATTGTGCCAATTAGACATCGTTTAATACCAAATGAGTTAAACACATTTGCTCCTGCAAATTCTAGAATGTTTATTTTTGTTAATCACCGCCGAACACTTTCAAAATACCTGTTCGTAATAATGCTTTAACTTGTATTGTCTGCTGGTGGAGAGTCATAGAGTAAAAATTCAGACTCAGTCATCAAAGCAACCTATAAATTAAGTAATTTTCCGGAAATAAAATGACATTAGCTACATTTTGGCGTGTTAAGAGACGTTCATCGGTATAAAAATATCAAATAGCGGAGAGATAGACTTGATGTCAAAGAGATCAAATGTTTCAGCGTTGCGGTAAAACATGGGAGACATGAAAAGAAGGCAAAGGAAGAGACTATGAAGGGCAGAAGTGGTACAACATGAAAGATCTGTACAAGTAACCATTTCACTGTGAGTATATCAAATTTTAAGTGAACATTCCTTTTCTATAGTTTAGTTTGTTAGGGTTAGTTGTTTTTACGAGTTGATCACGGATTGATATCAGTTATAGAGCCATTGAAAACCAGGGTGTATTGGACAGCTGCTGTTTCATCCTAGTTTGGGAATCATTGAGAGTACGCACCCACTGGGATTCCGGTTACAAGGCAAGCTCGTATACCATTCAGCCATTGGGACCCTATTCAGTGACCATTGCATGAATTCTAACTTCTACCAATTCGTGATTTAGTGCGTCCCCAATCACTGATATCAATCTGTGATCAACTCGTAAAAACATAGCTAACCCTTACAAACCAAACTAGAGAAAACTAATCTGATGCTCGCTTGTGACTTGCTGCAGGATGGAGTTTCCTGTAGTCAGTTCTAGTGAGAAATCTTGACCAGTGAGGTACATCCAGATGTCACGTACGAGGATAGATGTCCCACCGACGACGCTGGTTGGGGTCGCGCTAAATCACGAATCGGTAGAAATTAGAATTCATGCAGTAGCCATTGAATAGGGTCCCAGTGGCTGAATGGTATACGAGCTTGCTTTGTGACCGGAAGGTCCTGGGTTCGAACCACCATGGTAGGTGTGTACTGCCGATGATTCCCAAACTCGGATGAAACAGCTGTCCAGTACTCCAGTGCTAGTTTTCAATGGTTCTCTAACTGATATCTATCCGTGATCAACTCATAAGAACATTCCTTTACCAAGTCTCCTGTCTTTTCGCATTACAACCAATATTACTTCCGAAAACGATCTTTTTTCTACCTGATTAGACAATTTACCTACAAAAACGATCTGTCGAGTATGCAGTTCATTGCACTGAATTTCCCGTTTGATTGGTTTTATTGAACAGAATTATTCAATATCTATTTATACGTTGACTAATAGTACAGGCGCTTCTACAAAGACTACTTATCATGTGATTCAAAGCCATGTATAATAAAAGGAAACATTTCAATAACTTACTTGGATAATTACACGACATTGTTTGTTGTTGTTGTTGTTGTTGTTGATATTCCTGTTGACTGAAACATGGTAATAAATGACAATATGCACCACTATTTACAAGATATTGATTATCTGTTGACTGATTCTGATAGTCCAAGGTATGATTGACGTAGTCATCATCATCATCATGAAATATCTGTGAATTACTCGTTGGTATATTACAACAAGGATACACTCCAGTTGGGGATGAACGCGTTATCACCGGATTAGTATTATTCATATATGGATATATAGTTTTGTTTTTAATATTTAACAGTCTGTTGGATATTAATGTTGTTTCTGCTGATATGTCAGTTCTAGGTGTTGACACTTTTGATGGAGTAACATATAGAGGATCACTTTCGTTGATCATTTCTAATTTACACTGAATCTAAAAGAAAGAAAACAAGGTTTATTACAAGTTCGGTTGATTTTGATATAGTTGTTTTTTGATGTGATTAGATGGTTGCAGATTACGCCTTACTGACTGACTGGTGAGTGCCAACTAGCACGAAGCCTAGATCCTAGGCTTCCTCCCGATTGCCGCCAACCATTTAATATCATCAAATCAATGTGCATCGTGATGGCGAGATACCTAGAATGGTGGCTACATTGAAAACCTGACTGATAGAATTCAGTCTGCATCAAACAGAGGACTAAACACATCACACTAATTACTCACTAATGTCCAATCAAAGTTGTTATTTTTGTTGCAAATCGACTTATCGGTTAGAGAAATCATGGGATGGCACTGCTGAAAATACCCTGACTGAGACGAAACAATAGTCAAATACTTTCTTTTTTAGTTCTTAGTACTCCTCTAGCTGTTTCAACTTCGTAAAGAAAACCGTATTGAGAAAAGAAATTAGTAAATCATTATTGTGAAAGAAAGCAGAAAAAGTATGATTCCAAAACCAACAGAACTACTGACTACACGTTGTATGAATTTCACGTTTCCAACAATCTACAATCTCTATTCCTTACTCTTGACTAGGTAGGATTTTGTTCTCTATGTATGAATAATAATATCAATTTATTATATTGTGAGATGTCATGATACCTAATTAGACTGTCCATATGACTTCTGGGTTATTACTCACTTTAGGTTTGTTGGAAGGATCATTAAAATTCGGAGTTGAACAGTCTGGGCCTTAGAATGCATATCACGTGTATAATTTTTTAGCTAACCAAATAACCAGTAATAACAACACATTTGGACATATTCTCTTAGTTTCATTATTTACCATACTTTTTGATGGATGTTTTTATGGTTGTCTTTTACAGTTAGTATTATTATCCCCTTGGATTCCCAGTGCAACGTAAGGCTTCAGCAGAACATCTTTAGTTCGTTCAGTCTCATTTAGCTGGCTGAGCGATTGCCTATAAATTCTTCAATACCCACTGGGGTTCCACTCTACTGGCTAGCATGCGATTTCACTCAGAGATCTCACAGTATGTCTAATCCATCTCTACTGCCTTCTGAATATTTCTTGGACGATAGTTTGTTGTTTCATTCACTGCCTGCTGTAGTTTCTTGTTACTTATCCTTTACGGACGGTCATCTGATCTTCAGCATTGACAAAAGCAGGCATCTGCCGGTAAATGCCTGCAATACCCTGTTGGAAATGCTATTCATTACAACCACGAAGTTGTTTGGTTGTTTTTTTGTTTAAGAACTGACCTATCTTATGCCGAGCTGTGAGCCAAATTCATTGTGTCAGGTCTGATGACACTCTTCAGTTGCTTAGTATCAAGTAAGTAGAGCAAGATTCGAGCCCCGGTATATATAATCCTTGAATATCGAGTGTTTAAACCACCTGGCCCTATTTCCACAACTAGCGATTGGTAATGAGTAGCTTTGAAATTTAAGACATGAGTTTCATCCTATTTGTAAACCTGAATGTCCGAGAATCCCACTAATTGTTTGTGCTCTCATTAGGACTTTCCAAGCAGTAGCCCACAGTTTATTAGCTTCTGTAATAGGTACATATGAACCCTGCAAATTTACCTTTTGTAAGTCAGTAAAATCTTAACTTGCACTTCATTACCAAGTAATTTACCTAAGAACATTCCACATCAGTAATTAGCACTGTAATTCAACCCTGTATGCGTGGATGCATGTTTATTTAGTGGAATAGTGGAATAGTTGAAATTATTTCAAGTCAAATTTTTATATGAACTAAAAAAAATAAATGAAGAGAATCGGGAGACATGAACAGGTTGAAGGTAAAGATACCTTCACATTAACCTTATCTAAAATGAACAGCTAACTTCTGTAAAGACTTTCTGAAATTAACATTATCTGTATACAATACCAATTTCATTAACGGTGAAAGCAAACATATTTAAATTTAGATATAAACAGTATAATTCAATTTACTTGGTTTTCTGAATTGAAAGGAGTTACAATCGGTATGCCATCATTTCTGTTGTATTTCATTTGTTCTCTTAAATCATCATTACATCTTTGTTGAAATATTGAAGAATTTCCATGGTTGTCACAATATGCAGGCCTTTCACTTACATGCTGAATAGGATTTTGTTTACATGTTGTAAATACTGGCGAAACAAACACAGGATTGACACCATTTTCTAAAATACCTGAAATGAATAGAAATCAATAATAGATGAAAATATTTTCAAAATAAGCAATAAACTACTTACAATTAGTAATAAGTAGGCAAATTGGGAACAAATAATTTTCCAGTCGTTGCTTCCACCTAACTGATTCCCAGTAAATTTCACTGAATTTTATTGTTTATCTGTGTACACCCTGAGGATAATTTGAAGAGTCACAGCGTTTACAGAGTTCTTATAAGTCCTCATATCAGTGTGAACAGTGTCGATGGTAGAAGGCCTACTAGCAACTGAAGTCGTCCGAAATCTATTCCTGACCGGTGAACACTTAACCCTAACACTATTCAATAGTCGATACGAAGCCTTGGAAAGAGGTAAGGTTTGGTATGAGGCTGGAAAACCAACCCTGTAGAAAAAAATCCACCTATACTGAAATTTCAAAGCATAAAGCTTGAAGCTTTATGCTCCACTAAGGACTCAAGGAATGAAAAGAATACAAATAGACGATAATATCTATAAGCAATGTTCCATGGGATACGCTTCCACAAAGATTATTCGTATATATATATGTATATATATATATATATATATATATATATATATATATATATATATATATATATATATGCCTTACTACCTATAGTATTAAGTAGTTAGATTTCTGAATAATTCTGTAATTTTACACGAATCGTAACTGTTCTAATGGCAGAAGCCGGGGAATTGGTAACGGAGTTATCTGTTCGCAGCTCGATATACAAATATAAGCAGAATGATGTCTACCATCTGGTGGAATCACAGTTTATATTTATCTTCGATGTTGTGCTGCTTTGGTGGCAGTATTGTTCTTCTTCGTCTGCCTGTCATGTTTTCCAATTTGTTTCTCAAGCATTGTTCATTAAATCCATCCTGTGGCTATTTAATATTCATGCTGATACCATACATACTTATATCTTCATCTATATACTACTTACAAATCTTTTCAGTAGCACACACCCCGACGTGTTAACATATCCCTGTTGGGATAAAGTAGTTGTATGAGGAATACTGATCTGCATGTATCTACTGTGTTATTAATGTTAACTGACATCCTGTTATCCTCCTAGATGACATAATTTCTACTTGAAGTTCAATTGATATTGTTCAACATTCTTGATTTAAGTTTACCTTATTTGTCTAGGAGATCGATTATACAGTTTAAAATATTTTGGAATGACGCAAATTTGCATTGTGACATGTTCATTAGTGTTTAAAATGAAGTTTATCTTAACGTCAATATATATATATATATATATATATATTCATCTGTATTTTTTGACATACTATGTCTATTAAAATTTCAAATCTACACGATAATAATAGTCAATTTCATAATACTTTCAATCATACCTTTTCGGATTCATCATTCACAATCAATAAACTAACTGATTTCATACCAAAATTCGTATTACCATCTATTGAAGTCAGTAACTGTTCACTACAAATTAGAGATGACTTTGGAGTGGATGCATATAAAGCCGATTTAGAAACTATCACAAGCTGTGAGGAATCTGGTAACATTTCAGTAATAAAGTAGAATTCGATAACCCACATACTTTATCTTCTCTTTACCGATTCACTCACTCTTTATATTGCGTGAATTTAGTTAATTCTACTGATTAGGAATTTAGAAGTGAGTTCTCATCGAAGACCATGGGGTTCTGAACAGCTATGTCATCGTAGTTTAGAAAAAGTAGTAGTGTGATGAGAGCTAGCTGTTAGTCAAAATTGGTGGACAGTAATTTACATCAATGTTTATTTCCCCAATATTAGTTGTGAGAGAAATGAGAGCAAAGGTTTTGCGTAGGCGGATACAGTTAACATATAGATGATCTGACATTCAAGAAACAGCCACAAAGAAATGCAAGGTTAACTTTCCGTGAGAAACAACCAATCAGAGGACTGTGTTTTTCTGCTAACAATAATCTATAATATGTACATGAAAATCTATAAATATGTGTTGATTTCCATCATAAACAATCTGTAGCCTGGCCCTTGCTTAAATCATTGGGCTACCGAAAATACTTTCCTCCAAAATGCTTAATTTCATCTGGATTTATCATTGTTTTAATCGTCCAGTTATATCAAATGACCTATACATAAACTTTCGCGATGATTTAATTTGCTCCCAAGTAAACGCTTTAAAATTCTTCAATGAAATGAAGATATACTTCAGATTATTACTTTACATGTGAATCCTGTGTGAAGAAAAAAGTACTTTGGAACTGAATACGCTCAAAAAATGTTTGTACCGTATATTCGCATACTGTCTTAAATAAAGCTTTACCATTATTATTATTATTAATATTATTATTATTAGGGTGCAGCCGGTCGGCTGTGAGGACAAATACTCGCCAGCGATGACATTCGCTAGTGGTCGCGCCATATCGTCAATTGGCAGAAGTTGGAATTTATGGGTTGGCCATTGGATCGGGTCCCAGTGGCTTAATGGTTGTAACCGGAAGGTCCTGGGTTCGAATCCCGGTGGGTGCGTGCTGCTGAAGAGTCCCAAACTGAGCTGACGAAACAGCTGTCCAGTACTCCTTGTAGGTTTTCCAATGGTTCTCTAACCAATGTCAGCTCATGATGAAATCCTGAAACCAACCGAATCCTTACAAACCAACACTTAAATATTATTATTATTATTATTATATGAACAATTAGATTAATATGTTCATCATGTAGCGATCTTCGGCATATGACTTATTAGTAAGAAGTTACCAGTTAAACTTATCACATTTATTGGCGTGTGTGTATGTGTGTGTGAGCGTGACTACAGCATATGTTCTGTGTGTTAAAGATAAAAGGAATAAACAATATGAGGACAAAATGGTTAAATTTCTCTCGTTAATTATCTTACACTCACACACACACACGCGCGCACACACACACACGCACACACACACACTTACATATTAGCTAAACAGAACAACTTCGTTTTCTTAAACTTTTATTAACTATATTTGTATTTTGAAAAAAAAAATTAATGGTGAAATAGTTTCTAAGGTTTATTGTCGATTATAATTACTTCATTAATTGTTTAAATCTATTATGTGTTTCAAATATTGCGGTATTTTCTACATTCATGCGTATTTTTAAAACATTTTAACATCACAATTGAATAAACTTACTGAAAGGCATTTATTTATCTATGATAACGACTTAGTGATTCCCTGCGTAATTTATAAACAATATAAAGTTTATATAAGCGGTGAAGAAAAGTGATATAACACTCCTGTTAAGTATCCTCATTGATAAATATGCAAACTTGAAATATATTCAGTAAAAAATGATATGCTTAGTTGGTTACTCCTTTGGTTTTCATTCCATGAGTTCTAAGGACTTGAAGCGCTGACGTTTCAGTAGCGCTAATGTTGTTTATTTACGCCCAACCTTCCGAGAATCGAACCTGGCCATTTGTTGTGGCTAAGGAGTATTCTGCCATTGGACCATTGGCTCAACCACACTGACTAGTGAACAAAGAAAGTTTCTTAAGTTAATTTTCATTTCTTGTTGATTGATCAGGTTGGACTGAAATGGTAGGTTGCTGTTAACATCTTGGCTCCTATTATGGACACTACAGCGATGTCTGAAGATTAATATGATGTTATTTCACAACATTTAATTTGTTTTAAATTAATTTTCATCTTGGACCTGTTTCATAAGAACACCATCACTCAATGGCGACACAAGTACTTTTAGTTGAAGAGTCTCAATCTGGACGAAATGCTCATTCTAGATTCCAGTGGTAGTCACTATCAACCAAAACAGCAAAAAAGAGTCTTTCCGGTAATCGCTTCTTCACAATCTACAGAATAATTGTAATTCAAATTTGCCCATGGATTGATATCATTTCGAGAACCGCTGCAAAACCAGGGAGTACTGGACAGCTGTTTCATCCTAGTTTGGGAATCATCGGCTGTACGCACCCACCAACGGGGTCGAACGCAGAACCTTCCAGTTACAAGCCACTGGGACCCAATTCAATGGCTCATGAATTCTAAATTCTACCAGTTCGTGATTTTTACCGCGACCACCACCCAATGTCATCGCTGGGAAATCCATCCCTACTCCCTACTGGATACACCTTGTAATTGTAACTTGTAGGTATCTGTTGATTCAGCTTTTATTCGCCATGATACACCTCAATAAAGGGTATCTTCTATCCTACGGAAACTTGACGTTGAAACTTGTATTTAAGAATTTTGAAGGCAATGAACTTTACTATTAATTAGTCGATCCCCCTGTACACAAAAATATTTTATATGAATTATTCACTAAATGATAACCAGTGGACCTGAACTCTCCCAAGAATATTTTGACATTCAGCGTAGTAATTATGTAGTAGACATGATCAGTTGATTTCGATTTTTTTTAAACACACACCAAACTTGAAATCTGCATTGCTCAGTTTCCAGTGACAGGCACTTATCTAAGAAGAACTGTTCCAACCACGGGTCAGCAGGACGGATGAAGATGTAAAAGCCATATTCGGAAAGACAAGATACACCTTCACCCATCTAAAGTCGGTTTTGAAATCTTCTTCACTAAACCAGCATATAGAATAAGATTTGGATTTTCAACACAAATGTGCAGTCAGTCAGGCACTGCTTCTATACAGATCAGAAGCTTGGTGAACACCTCACGAAAAATCTTTCCAACAGGCTACGACAGAGTTTTATCAGCAACTGCCTTCGATGTCTCCATACTGAAGATCAAATGGCAGGTCAGAAAGAATTAGCAACACGAAACTCTGAATGGGACTAAACCAGTCAAGAGGTGATTGCTCAACAAATGTGTAGGAGAAAATGGAGATGGGTAGGGTATGCATTGTGGAGGTCATCGAATGACATCGCGCGCAGTGCAGGCCAACGATCAAGTGGAATCTCAATGGGAAGCGACGACTGAGTCGTCACTTCAAGGGTGACATGGAAGAGATCATGCGAAGAAGAGATGAGAGATTATGAGCGATTGTCAATTCAGCTGAAGAGGATGGTAGAAAATAGAACAAAGTGGAGATATGTTGTTGGAGCCTTTTTGAACCCAAGGAAATAATAATGATATAATAAGTGACAGGCGGGATCATAGTAAGATAATGATTATCAAAGACTTTTAAATACCCACTGAAAACCAAGCAGTACTGGACAGCAGCTACTCTGTCTTTCTTCGGAACTCATAACTTCATTGAGGATCAAACATAGAACCTTCAGGTCACGAAGCCACTCCGTTAATCACTTAGTCACTGAGATGGAATCCATTAACCCATCAATTCTGACTTCATCCAATTTATGATATATATAACACGACTACCAGTCAATATCATCCACGAGTACTTATCTTCAAATCCAAATTGGGCACCTCATTGGTCACTAATTTCCACTAGAACTCCAAGCAACATCACTTTACAGTTAGTCACAGATGAGCATTCGACTATTTTGTTGTTGTTGTTGTTTTTGTAGAAATTCGATTAATTTCACTTTAGATAATCTGGAACCTTCAAATTAACAAGCAAGCTAGGTGGAGTCTCTAGGTTCAATCTTCGATAGGGTCAAATGTGCGTGTATTACTGAAGAGCCCCAGTGTGGGACGAAACAACTGGCCAGTACTTCCCGCTCTTAAACATTTTTTTGTTACTGAAGTCATTTTGTAATCTAACTTGAAATAACTTACTGTTTAATGAGTCAACTATGTCCATTGGCAGATTATTTGCATTTATTTCAGTCACTAAAGTTGAGCGTGTGTACAATTACTCATTTATGACACCCCTATGTAGTAAAATAACAGAAATTAGAAACTACACAATATCTAACAGTGAATATGAAATGCTACAATAAATAATTACTTGATTTATTAATCATATTACACACATCATCGATGAATGAACTTGGATGAAAAAATTAGTAATTAAAGTCTTTATCGATTAGTAAATTTGAACTAGGATAAGGAATTACTGAATCTTTAATGGTATGATGTGATAGTCGATCAATAAACGTATTCATGCACACATTTTTCGTTATTTGTTGTTGTTGTTGTAAATTCACACAATATTGAAACCTTTTTGAAAAAAAATCTGTTATGCTTAATTTTAAGGTAATTATCACCTTTCGATGGATGATACAAAATGAACAATTATTTTAGAAACTTGTGGCAGGTAAATATAATACCAAACATTTTCACTAGTATTACGTAATAGGCACGCAACATATCTGAACAGATCTGAATTTATATCATAATTACTGTGTGCAAATTTGACTAAAATGAGTAATTAACAGGGGATTAAATTTAATGTTTTTGAAAATGAAACTGCACAAATCACATTAGTAGATGACTTTTTTGGAGTGTAGATCCACTGGCTCTGTCAGGATGATTGGGGCAGGAAGGGAGTGAGTGGAGAAAAAGGGTAGTGAGTAGTATGGTTACTCATGATGTGGTGTGTTTTTTTAAGCTGTATGATAACGGCATTTGTTAGAACAATTTCAGGAATAGGGGATTAAAATAAGGGAACCACAAAAATTCATTGTCAGTGTGTAAGGTAACACTGAACAACACTAATTGCATAATGTATGGTTTAAAATCTCAGTCATAATAATTGGTTTGATATATAATCTTTCGATGATATCACCAGTTATACTTTACATTAAGTCAGATTAATTATAAAAAGTTAATGTACATGAGAAGAAATATCAGTATGATTACCTATAGGGAGTCATTTCAGTCAAAATAGTATTCATCTGTGTTCATCTGTATTTGTGTGCGTGTAGGCTCATAAAACTGCAATACATACCTTTTTACCACACCTGTGCCTATTTGATAATTGACAGACTCTTCACTTGCACATAACCATTCACCCTATGATGTCATTTTACGAACAACATTTGAGTTAATCAGCAAAAATAAGGCACAATGAGATCCGTAAACACTGACAGCCCAAATGAATGCTTGCATTAAGCTCCTAGAACTTTGTATTTGACTTCATGAACATGTGTTATATCTATGCACTAGATTTAAAAGTTGTCTGTACGTTATTAAAACGGTATTGACTTTAGATGGTTGGAGGCAGTCGACAGAAAGTCCAGAACCTAGATTTCATGTTTAGTGACACTTGTCAGCAAGGCGTGTCCAAAAACATCTGAGATACTCATTTCTAAACTATTTAGGCTAATCAATAATCTCCTGTATATCTGTGGTGAGTTCATTGATTATTCAGTGAACATCAGCACGTCAACGATTCAATGTTAGAATGGTTGTCAGCCAATGCACTCCTAAACCTTTCCCTATTTACTACTGGGGCGGCGGGGGGGGTGAGGGCGTGGGGTAGTAAGCCAGTGAAAGAAGGAGGATTGAACGTGATAACACTATCGCTACTGAAAATCTACCAAAGTTACATCATCGCTCATCAAAATAAGCCGTGCAACTTTATTTGTACCTACAAAACAAAAATTCAGATTTCCCATCATGTTTCCGCAGCCTTTTAAAGAATCAATCCCTTTCCTTTTTATTTCAAAGTGCTGCTCGTTAAAATTATTCATGGAAGTATGAAGAAGCAAGGAAAACTTTAAAAAATGTCTTCAATACTCCTCTTGGCATTCATAAGGATCATACATCAATGAATAAGATTCGCAATTTGCAATTTACACAGTTCGAAGAGGGGAAGTTTCATCACAGTTTCCTTTGAAAAGCAAAATTATTCACATCAAAATATTTGATCTGCTTCATAACATAAATTGTAATTAAGAAAGTAAGCCTAAAATGAAATACTACTGATTCATTGGGATGAGTAGTTGGATACGACTAACATCTGGGTATCGGTGGCACAGCGGTTAGAACGCTCACCGACCTATCACATAGTCTGGGGTTCGATCTCCGGCCCGACGCACACCCAGTATCAGTGCTCGGCCTGCTAAATTTGGGCTACCGGTAATCACATGCTGAAAATTCCAGAGTTGTACCAAAAATACTGTGTGCAGTCAAGCTATAATAATAACCTGTAGTATTTTGATTGGATACTAGTAACTAGTGTGACGTATCTAGTCCTTTCTTTGGTGCAGGAGGTCAATCGCAAGCCCGTATAGCTCAGTGGTAACGTCTCTGACTGCAGCACTGGGTGACGCGGGTTCGAATCTCAAAGGGGACACAAGTTCTTTCAAAGTTGCATATACACCTTGCTGACTGGTGAGTGCCAACACTAGCACGAAACTTAGGTCCAAGGCTTCCTGTGGCCGATTGCCTCCAACTATCTAATAACCTATAGTGCTTGCCAATGGACCAGCTCACAGTAATGTAAACATCAGATGGATGCTTGACTTATTTGGGGCTGAGCTGAACAACGGTGTACCCAATTTCTGGCTAGTATCAGTGATGACCTCGGCCCCAACTGAGTGAAACACCATTCCATAACCTCAAAGTGATCAGAGGATTTAATTATCAAATCAAAATCAAAAAGTATTATTTCCGACTTCTAAGATCAATCACAACCGCCTTTTTTAATGTTTATCAAAATAACAATAATAATTATAACAGTTATTTACTTACCTGTAGAGTTATTTGTTATCGTCACATTGTTATACAAACTTTGTTGATGTTGTCCTTGTGTTTGTTGATTACTAGAAAGTAGGTGTGCTGTATTGTACTCATTGATACTATCAGGTAACCAATTATTATTATTATTATTATTGCTATTATTATTAATAGTAGTAGTGGTAGTATTATTTGAAAATTCATTATTCCATGTATTTTGTTCAATTTTCAATGTGATATTATTTATTATATTGTATGCATTAATATTGAACATTGATTCATTTGTTTTATTGAATATTTCACTATTTATAGGAAGTGATTTCAATTTATTGATAGATGGCGTTGATAGTGATATCGATTGTGGTTGTTGTTGTTGCAGTGATGGGGGGAGAGGAATGTGTGGCATTACTGTTGAGATGATGTCTGTTGTTGTTGATGTTGTTGTTGTTGGCGACAGTGCTATTGTCTTTGTTGTTGTAGAAACTTTACACTTTTTTAATTCATTCACTTTTTTCACTCGATTTGATTGAATAGATCGTTTAATCTTTTTAGATGTTTGCGGCAGTATTTTCTTTAATTTTATCGATATATTATTATTATTATTTTCATAATAATCTTTCATTTGATCATAATCGATAATAGATTCAAAATATGATCTGTTTAAATTTGAATTTTGAAAAATAAACAAACAAGGAATTTAACAGAAGGCTATTAGTTTCAGTTTCACATATTTTAAAAGTAAAAAATTGAATTGATTTTTAAGTCACGAATTGATATAAGTTATAGAAGCCTTGGAACACTGAACAGCGCTGTTTCTTGCTAGTTTGAAACTGTTTGGTATAGGGTATCGAACTCAGGACCTTCTGGTCACAAAAAAGCCCAGTGTGTGTGTGTGCACTGAGACGGAAATTTTTCGGCTTCTGAAAGTTTCCTAGAGACTCCCTAACTAAGATGTAATAACTATTCAATTCCCCTTGATAACTTAGATAACCCTCATAATGATTCCATTTCACATAATATGCAGGCAGCTAATATTGTTGGGCTTTGTACTCACCACCTCTGACTTGGTAAACTCCATCGGTCACAACTTCTTGCTAGAACTCAAAGCAGCTGAATCCTGAAGTCAGTGCCTAATTAAGCATTACACTGCACACTTACTGATCAACTCTTTTCTGACATTAACCTGTAATGTACTTGCACAACTTTGAGATGACATATACTTCCTTATACATCTTTACATGTGTCCTTCAGTAGTTAGTCAGAAATGATTCTTGTATGTCTAAGTTAATGAAAAATGACATGAGTTATGGTGTGGCATGTGCTACTGATGAGAATTTGTCAGTAGTATGTATAGACGATTCAATTTGCATGAATCTATAAATAGCAAAGCAACGGATTAAGAGGAGAAATGAAGATAACTAACTGTGAGACAACATAGAAAGCATAAAATGACGACAAAAGAAACTGAATATATGAATAACTTATGAAAGCTTAAATTTAAATTAAATGTTTGTTTATTTCGCCGGTTAGTTTGTTTACATCATTTTGCCAAATAATAATTCTGCAATCAAATACCACTATGCTCTACGGTTAGATCGGTATCTGATCTTATGGGATGAAAGAGTCCTAGTTCTTTGAATTAGATGACAAACAGTGATGCAACCTAGCCTCTGCATTATTCATCTGTTCATAGCTGATGCGTGACGCATCAGGACGATTTAGCTCCCCAACTGGCATTTTTATCTTATTTAACCAATATGATATGGTTACTTTGATTGGACACTAGTGACTAACTAGTGTAATGTGTCCAGTGCTTTGGTTGGTACAGATTGAATTCTCTATCAGTCAAGTTTGCAATATGGCCACCATGCCACTAGGCGGCTTGCCATCACCATTTACTTTGAATTGCTGATATATTTGATGATTGGGGGGGGGCACTGACAGGAAGCCTAGGATCTAAAGTTTTGTGCTAGTTGACACTCGTCAGCAAGGCGTATCTGCACCTAAGAACTGACTAGATACATTACACTAATTACCGATTAGTGTCCAATGTCTAAGTATCCAATGCAGTCCTACAAGTGGTCAGTTGCCAGCCCGAACAGCTTAGTGGTACCGTCTTTGACTGCAGCACTGGGCGACTGGGGTTCGAATCTCAGGAGGGACATGAGTTTCTTCAAGGTTGCAGATACGCCTTCCCGCCGATTGCTTCCAACCATCTAATATAAACTAGTATAATTTCCTGATTGGAATTTATGCTGTACAATTTATAATTAACCTCGCCAAGTTCACTAGCCTATCCTAAACTCGGAAAAAGAGATATGGTTAACGTGGGGCTAGAGACCAGAATTTCAGCACTAATGTCACTTCAGGTCTTCTATATGATTCAGACACGGTGCGCACGTCACCAAAAGCATCTCCAACAGTTTACTGCCAACTTTTATCAACAGTTGTCTTCCCTCGACACTGAATATTAGATGTCCAGAAGCGGTTATCAACAAGGAAACATCCAAGAAACTATAACCCAACAGATATGCATAAGAGAATTAAGATGGAGTGAGCATACTCTGAGAAGACAGCTGAGTGAAATCACAGGCCAGATCTTCGAGTGGAACCTGAATGGGAAACGACGAATTGGGTGTCCGAAGACAACATGGCGGAGACTGAGTGAAAAGGAAATAAAAATTTATGAGCTATGGTTGAGCTATCTGAAAAAGACAGTGGGGAACAGAGTGATAAAGCGGTTTCCTGCTGAAGCCCTTCAGCCGGAGTCCAAGGCAATAATAATACATAATTAGATATTTATAAACAGAGACCTGTATAAACCTATGTAAATTAATGACTGGGAAGATATACAAAGTTCTATGATGATAAGATTCTTAAAGAAGTAGAGATTACAAGGAGTTCATATAGCATCATAACATCATTCACTTATGATCCATCTTCATAGAAGAGATAATTACAGTTCCTTTTTTATTCCTTTACGTTCCCAGTGGAACATAGGGCTTCAAGTTAGAGGCTTGAAGTTTCGGTAGCAGCGATGATCATTTTTACAGGATGGGGTTGCTAAACTCATGCCCAACCTTCCCTCTTTACCAATCTTATTACTGGGTAAGTGAGGTGAAGGAGTGCGTGGGCAGGGGATCGGACTCCCGGACCATTTGCGTGGTCAGCGAGCGCTCTACCCCTCTGCCACCGACGCACATAGTTTCATTGTGTTACACATTTCAGTAACGCACTCAGTTCACGCTCGTTGAAGAGTACAACTACTAGAAAAGTATCTCTCTTAATTATCACTAATGATCATAATATTTAAAAAATCTGTTATGTAACTTACCTATTAAGATTTTCACACACAACTGATTGTTTCATCCCTATTTTCATTTCAGCTATTTCCTGTATCGGCTCATCATTTGAACAACATGGATTCGCTGATAATTCTGTTTGTAATTTTGAACATACTGAACATTCTGATGAGGATGACGGGGATTTATTTGATGGTAGAGAAAGACACGACATTGATGATAATGACGAATAAACTGGCGATAAATTTGAATCATTCTGTCCTGCTGTTGTCAATATTCCTTGATTTATTATCTTTAGTCTATGCACATTTTGGTATTTATCACGTTGATAGCTGTGATAATAATTATTATTATTATCGCCATTATTATTTTGAGCTGACCAGTTATAATTATATGCTTGACTGATATTCTCATGATGTTGATTAACTTGACTAGGATGATCATACTGATGTTGGCAAGGATGAGATGGATATTGAGAATTATGGTGATGGTAATAGGGGTTGTGTTGTTGGTCAATATTATTGTAGCTTTCTACTAAATGATTATTACCTGAGTTAGAATAAAAATCTTTCTCTTGCAGCTCTGTAGACTGGAAATCACACAGAGATGAAGAAGCTTCAGAATAATCTGTTAAAATAGAGTGGGTAAAAAAAAAGAAACGGATGTAAGCTGAAGTTTTTGAACAGAATGTATACGGATATGTGATTGTTTAAAGAAAAGGACAGTGCGTGAAAAGTGAGAAGAATCGGCCAATGTCATCGGTGGCGATTTATCCCCCCCCTCCACTGGTAACAACTCCTCACTAAAAGTCCGGGCAACTTCATCCTGTAACTAGTCTCTAGTGAATAATAGGTTAATTTTCAAGAACCAGTTTGTAGAGATCCGATTTGTATCAAGTCTGATTACGGACTGGTATCATTTAGAGAACCTTCCAGTCAGGAGTGAGGATAAACACTAATTAACGATGACATTGGCTGATATCAGTCACGATAAAATCACTAATTGGTAGAGGTTAGAACTCACGGGCCATTTAATTGGGTCCCAGTGTCTGGATGATCTCCAAACTTTCCTTGTAGCTGGAATGTCCTGGGTTCGAACCCCGGTGAATGCGTACAGCCAATGAGTCCCAAAGTAGGAAGAAACAGCTGTCCGTTATATATACATATAATGCCATTACGTCAACGTAGCAGTAAACTATGACGTTACCATTAGCATCGTTGTCAGTCAGGATGACCGATAAACTAGTAGATAATTAACAGTTAAAGCAAATTCACCTCCCTTTCAATTTTGCCTACTTGAATGTGTTGAATAGAAGAGGTCAATTACAACCTAAATTTTCTCAGATAGTGGTTGTTTGTCTTATGTGGTTGCGTATTACATGCTTAAAGGAATACTGTAGTCACATCAGATATTACGTTTGGATGTTTTAAATGGGTTTTTTTATCGATTTCATTTAAACAGTTGTAGCGTTTTGGTATATTACGGGTGATACACCTAGAGACTACTTTTATCCTCACCCATATTAACAGTCTAAAGGTGAAAATTCAGTCATACGGATTTTATCAGGAAACATTTGAATTATCTTAATTTATAAAACACAAAATATTTGAGCAAAGAATATTCTTTTCGATAAATTCCTCTTCGGTCTCTACAATTATATACATGTTTATATACACAAAATATTCAAGATTAATGGTTAATAACAATATTAGTGTTTTTTAAATAATATCGATTTATAAAGTATGATCAATGCAATTACAGTTCATTAAAGATACTTAAATTATAATAATAATAATAATAATATAATAGCGAATAGAATATCAACTAAAATTAGAGAAATTCCACAAAAATTCAGGATAATTGAAACCTGGATGGCCAAGGTAAGGATAATGTCTGAACTAACTTCTTTTGGATGCATAAATTAGGCTTGTTAATGTGGATCCCCACAGCCTCAGCAATATTTAGTAGTCGAACTCTTACGGCAAAATTGAGATTCGTAGGTATGCGGTAAATGACCCTGAAAGCATGGTTAATGTCAATCTTGTGTTCTGTCTCCACAAGATGAGACAGAATAGCGCTACGTATGGATTTTGTATGACCTTTGCTTAACCAGCGACGCAGGGTGATGTTCGGAAATTCGACGATATTATTTAAAAAACACTAATATTGTTATTAACTACTAATCTAGAATATTCTGTGTTGGTTTGTTGTAGGGATTTTGTTTGATTGCATGGAGGATTTGATCATGAACTGACATCAGTTAGAGAACCACTGGAAAACCTGGGAGTACTGGACAGCTGTTTCGTCCTAGTTTGGGACTCCTCAGCAGTACGCACCCACCGGGATTCGAATCCAGGACCTTCTGGTTACAAGGCGAGCTCGTAGACCATTGAGCCACTGGGACCCGATCCAATGGTCCTTGAATATTCTGTGTATTTAAACATATAAATGATTGTAGAGCCCGAAAAGGAATTTATCGAAAAGAGTATTCTTTGCTCGATTATTTTGTGTTTCATCTTAATTTAACGAACAAGGAATTCTACCCAATAATTATCCTCAAACTTATGTCATTTTTTAACGGTAGAAGACAAGAGGATTGGTAACGGAATGTTTATCTTGGAATTTGAAATCTCCATATACTCAAATTATGTACACCGTATATTCAGTGCACCACTTACACAAATCTTGCATGTTGTACCTACTTCTGCTCTTCTTTTCGTGTCTCCCATGTTTCTCCTCAACGATGAATCATTTGCTCTCTTTTTGATGTCAAACCTATCTCTCCGCTATTTGATATTTTTTATCCTGGTAAATATCTCTTTAATATACTACTGATAAATTTTATCAGTAGCACGCACACACACACCGCAATTTCACCTTCATTCGTGTCTGTATCAAAGAATACCCCTGAAATCACATGACTGCTAACAAATTTCGACTATAACTTTAATGATATTTGATGATAATAAAAAGTCTTCATATATAAAATGGTGCGTAGTATGAATCGTTGTACTAGTTAGCCGTTTGGTCACAGAGATGCCACTTATCATTATATTGATTTTTAATTTTAAAATCTTATTAATCCATATATATATATATATATATATATATATATATATATATGTAAGCACGTGAACTTAAATGCATGTATACCATGCATTCACATAAACATTACCAACACTAATGAGCTGAATTCAAATTTTGAAAACGTATTTAACGTGATGATATTCTATTTGTTTATACAAAGATAAATGATGTGAAATGGACAAATTAACCGTATTTTTCGATTAGTTTGGTGACTTGTGTTTTTCTGGTACTACAGTAACTTGTTGATACTGTCTATCTCTCTCTGCCTCAAACATACACACACACACACACACACACACTCCTTAGACAATGAATAATGCTGACAATGACAGTTAATCCAGCCATGATGATGACGATGCTTAATTGAGACCAAAAATAAAGGACGAAATAATGAATGCGCTAAAACAAGGCGATGGTGGTGTTGGGGGTGGGCGGGGGTGATGGTGATGGGAACTGTTGTTTTAGACAAGAGGAATAGAAAAATTAATAGAAGATGAACCAATCTTTGTTTTGCTTTTTTTTTTCCAGGTGTCTTTTCATCATGAATTTCTACTAATGATCTGATCTGAAAATGTATTCCTTTACGGAACTCGGTGTACAAGTGGCTCATTAAATTGATTATAATAATAATAGTAATAAATATGCACGTGCATATTTATCGCTGTAATTTGTAGAATAAATGAGAAGGCATAATTTATAAACTGTTGACTTTGTTTCTCCTAGTCAATTCTAATTTGTCCAGTTAGTTAGTTTTTTTTGTTGTCATCTTCTTTATTGTTATTTTAGAGAATCAATGTGAATATAAATAGGAATACGAAATGAATACTGAATACTTATTGTCCTTTCATCACCCCCTCCCCATTTCTCCGTGTTCCTCTCTCTCTCTCTGTATTAAGCATATACATCTCCCCTCCCCCCTTGGTTGTCCTTTCCGTCTTACAAATTCGGAAATACTTAATCAGTGTTTTATTCGTTTTGTTTTTTTTTTCTCCTACGAACATTATTTATTCCAAGCTTCTTAGTTTGTCATCAGGGATCAGTAATCTCTCATATAAATCTTCAACTATATATGTTAATATTGAAAATATAATGAATAGCAAATTAGTATGCTTGATGTATGTACTACACGTACACACATGTAAGTAAAGTATATACTGTGTACACTACAGAATACATAAGTACATCAAAAAAACATAAAAAACTAAAAAACTATGAGAATAGGAACAGCTGAAACATCAAAAAAGTAAAATCGAAATGCTTTAGAGGACACGTAGAAGAAATGTTCTCTCTCTTCATCACAACCCCCTGCAACCCCCCAACACACGCACACACATACACCTCCACCCTCCTCTCTGACTACTTCTTATTCGTATTCTTATTCTTATTATTCGTCTTCGAAATTGACATGTGATCAGATAAATGATCTTTGCTTTTATTTTTTTTCTTACTGAATACAAGGAACGATTAGTCGACAATAATCAGTAAAACTACACAAGATGGACTATTAGTAAAAGAGTAAATAAACAAATCATTCAGGCGACAGTTTGTTAATTAGAATGGACAACTATCCAAACATTTAGTACGTTGATTCTTAGTAGTACAACAAGTAATAGTAATAGCAATAATTATAACAATAATAATAATTGTGATATTATTAGCAGTAGTATTAGTAGTAGAACTTTATTCCTGAGAAATTTCATGTTTTGTTTATTTATTCAAAAAATTAATAATAATAGTCAGTGTGTCGTGTCACTAACGCTAAAGTCAGCACTTCCGCGTACCCTACCAGGTTCCTGTACATATTCACTAAGAAACAATACTCTAAAGCCTCTTTAATATGTATAAATTAGAAAGTTGGAGGTAATCGGCCACAGGCAGCCTTGGACCTAGGACTCGTGCTAGTTGGCACACATCATTAGTCAGCAGTCTTGAAGGAGCTTGACTGATAGAATTCAGTCTACACTAAAGATAGGATTAGACACATTACACTAGTTACTGACTAGTGTTCAGTCAAAAATAGCTAAGTATAAATATATATTATACCGTGATTAGTAACCGTTTCACATTTCATTCGTTTGCATAACATCGCTTAAACTTTGAAATTTCGTTAGTGAGGTAGGGATGCCAGTTCCACGCCCAACCACCCCGTCTTTACTGGGCTTGCTAGCGGCTAGTTGAGGTTCAGGAATGCAGCGGTAACTCTGTAATTATCATTATTATTATACTTACAGGTTCTTACTAAGGTGGAAATTCTACCGGACAAGTTTACAATGTTGTTACCAGGTTAGAGGAGTCGCTATTGCTGTTCACCTTGATATGATGTTGATTTCATTCAAGAGAATCAAAATTAGTCTCACCAAGTGTTCTTTTCAGAAAAGATGTTACCGTTGAGCTGTTTTGTCCATGATTGTTATCCTACAGTACTGGAATGATATATTGGCTGAGTACTAGGATATACCTAATGTCATGTTGCTTAGTTCGTAGTGCTCATTGCATTCATATGAGCATGCAGTTATGGGGATTATCATCTCTAACCCATT